TTAAATTTAGAAACAAAATGATTTACTTTATTTGCATTTTCCTTCTTAAAATTGATTTTTAAAAATTATCATTTGGATTCAGTGTGCAAAATGAAGAATATAATAATTATTACTAAGGTAAAGAATATTTTGTGATTTTTAAGAAATTTTATCAATTACTTTTTTTATAATTTTTTATTAAAATGTCTGTTTTATAACAGAAAATTTTATTTTTTCTAATTTTAAAACATTTCTTATTATTATTAATCAGATTTAACAATACAAAATGTAAAAATAAAATGTGTTATATAAGTATACGATTCATTGTTTGATCTTTACATAATTATTTTTTAGTTAATTTAAGTAAAAATAAACAAAATTTATTTTAGAAAATTCGGAAAAATTATTTGATAATAAATCGTTTGAAAGGTGTACCTTTTGTAATTGGCAACTTGAGAAATGTCACTTGATTCCTTTAGTTCTTATTTTTCTTAATTATCTTTAATTTTAGAATTCTGTTCTGTTGTTTAATGATTTATTTCTGGTGATGTAATGTTGTATTAGTTTATTAATATTGTTCAAAGTATCTCAAAATTCTTGGTAATACTGCTATAAAATTATATTGTTTTAAATGTAACTAAGAATGCATCATCACTGACTTTTATGAAAGTAAAAACGCGTTCGGCTGCAAAGTACAAAGTCAAATTGATGATAATTTTATCGAGACGTGTTTCGTTATCGTTGGAAATATAATTCGGAAACATATAAGCACATATTGTTTTGATCTTGCTATTCTATGCTTTGACTTTTTCTTGAAAGAATATTATTTAATACTTTAATTATCTTTAACAGATATTCACGAAGTAATTTTTAAATGTCGCTTTAGAATAAAGTCGACAAATGCAATTGGTTGGCTGTGAATTTATAGAAAAAATGATATCAATTTTATTTGGAAATTTGACACGGAATAGTTTTAATAACAAAGAAATGCCGAATAAACATATTTCCATAATAGAAATACGTTTATTCGGCAATCTGTTAGCGATGAAAACAGTTTATCAATAGTATTAATCATTTTTGCTAGTGGGATTTTATTGTCGAAACGTAAACGTCTGCATTTGGAAACAATGTGATTAATATTCTCTTTGATATTCATCAATCAAATGCAATTTTTAATTTGTTTTGGGATTTCTCAAAGTACGATACGCTTAAAAAAATCAAATTTGATTGATTTAATCAAAGCGATAAAATTTGGATGATGCACTTTAAGTTAAAGTTTTTTACTTTTTTATTAGAATTCGTTTTATTCTTTATTCTAATTTAAACTTATTCGAAGTTAACAGTTTCATTTTCAGAAGTTAGATGACGAAGACTCTAGTTTTGGAAATGTTTAAGTCAAGTTGAAGAAAAGAACCAAACTGATGCCAGTCAAGTCATATTTATAATTGAAAAGTGTAATTGTTTTTGTTAATAATCGATTCTGAATTTGGTTTATGTGGAGTCAAACTTTACAGAAGTGTTATTGCTATAACTTAGTTTGTATGTAACACAGAAAATGTGGATGTTAGGTAGGCATGATGAGACTAAATCCTCAGGAAAATGGAAGTCCTTCCCTTTTATTTATAATTAATTTAATAACAAATTTTTACAATTGGAGAAGTTCACTCTACATAAAAATGTCTGAAAATCAGTTAAGTATTGAAATTGGGAATAATTTAATCTAACAATTGCTTATAAATCTGCTTTTATATACAGCATCGGAATATATTTAAATATTAAAACAAAAAACTTTTGAATGTTGGAACAGTATACTATTTTCAGCTTAACGCATTCCATTTGGCCAATTATTATAAAAGGTTTTAGTTATGTAAACAATAAACTTCAATTTAAATATTAGATTAAGCTTTTTTTGAAAAAAAATATTTTATCTATCTGGAATTAATTGAACTGAAAGAACATTATTTAAGTAATTAGATGGAAGATACGCAGATTAAAATAAATTAAAATATGAAGATAACATTTAAATTATAAGAATAAATATGTATATACACTAATAACTTATAAAATTACTTAAATTTATATAATTGAAGAAATAATTATGAAAATGTAAGGTTGAAAAGCTTGTTAAACCTGAAAAAACACTATAATAATTTAGTAAACAAGTAAACAAAAATTTACCTTTAAAAATTGATTCAAACAACAAGTAAAACTAAACAATAGCTCATCATTCACTAGCTACTTGGCTGACACTTCTGGATTTCTGCCAGCTAAAGTATTACTGTTACGTTCTTATGGTCAACTGACAACGCGACTTTTTCTGTCTACTCGTGTAATGTCTTTTCAATGATGTTTTCATGTAAATTTGCTTTTTTGCACCTCTTCTGTTGTAATGTATTGACGTGTAATTTATTTTTCTTTTTTACTTTAATTTTTTTTTTTACTTTTTAAGATGATTTTTTTGCATGTACTTGGATATTTTTCACAAATGTCCAAGTGAGCGAAGTTTCTTGTTCTGAATATATTTTTCTCTATTAATAAGAATGTACAACAGCTGTGCTAATTTAATATAATAATGTAGCCGAGAACGCTGTCGTTAACTCGTTACGGTGGGCCTCGCCAACACGTAAACCTACTGTTGGTGTGGTCCCACTGTTGCTGCTGTAATAATTAGTTTGATGCGTTCTATTGTATTAGCTCTTGTTATATCAGACTCTATGCACAGATGTGAAATTGAAGATACATTCTCTTTTGTTAATTAAGTTTTATGTTTAATAAACAAATAAAGCTACAACTTATTAAATTTTTTTTATAATAAATCTAAAATGTTCTAATATTTTGCCATATAAAAAACGAACATTAGCAAACTGTTGAGTTCATTAAACTTTTGCAGTATATTTTTAATGGTATGCCAATTATTCCTTGTCTGTCACGTCACGTAAGGAATTGAAAAACGAATTACCTTCTTAGACATGCCTACTGTTTTGAAGCACCAAAGTATTCTGCTTAAATTAAATTCCTGTTTAAAATTAGATGTATTAATTCAGAAATGATTCTTTAAGTTAGAATTTTAGATCATGAACAAGCTTTGCATTTGCATTCCATTAATTATGTATTGTGCCGTGTTAATGATTGATCTGTGTTGTTCGGCTTCGTTACAACACATTTTTAAACATGGTTTCACAGAAAGGGAAAAATACTTATAGTTACTGGAAATTAGCATGAATAGGAAGTAATGTAGAATGTGTGCCTAGTCATTATTATATTGAATTTATAGATTCTATTTAAAAAAAATGATTCATGTTTATTAATCATGGCGTTACACTAGAAGTGTAATGACTGATCAAACAAAGAATAAAAAAAGGAAAGAGTTAAAATAGAATCAATAAAAATACTTTATATATTTGATATTTGTCCTAAAAAGTTGTTTTAATGGAAGATAAATATGTATTTTTGATCCAAAATTCAGTCTTTTATATAAAAAAAAGTTTTAAGTTTTTTTTTTTTTTAGTAAGGGATGAAAAATTCGTTTTATTGATTTTATTCGGCCATTTTTATAGTTTTTGAAGAGAGGTGGTGTCTCACATTTGTCACCGTCCCATGCTTGTCTTGCCCCTTTCTCTGTATGAATCGTTTCTTGGAACACAAAGATCTGTTTTGTTTCATTCCCACATAATGCTGGTGATGTAATCAAATATACAAACATTGCTAAACCCGATATAGCTAAACACCAACTAAATGCCGAAATTCTATTGGATTAGCCCGATAGAATTTCGGCATTTAGTTGGTGTTTAGATGTAATCAAATGACAAAGTTAAAATAAAGAATTCTGCTTAAATATATATTGATTCGATATAGTTCCTAACTTCAGAAAAATTCAGAATTTTATGTCCTCAAATGAGGCCTGTGCTGCATTTAAGTGTTAGAGTAAATAAAACTTTTTATATTTTTATTTAAAATAAAAGTTTTATTTCTTTTAAGTACTAATTTAACTTAAAAATGATGTGAAAATTTTAGCGTTTAAACTAATCTTAAGTCATTTAAATCTTCAAAAAGTGGCCCTCCAATAATTTTTCATTAATTTTATTGAGACATTTACAGATTGACGCAAATTATATCTCCAAAAGAAGGCACTTTAAACGCAAACGTGTCATAAAATAACTCAAAATTTTAGTACTTTTGTTTAGTTTTATAACAAAAAATGTTTATGGAGGATATTTTAAAATGGTTTTTTAAGTGCGAACAAAAGTTTTATTATTATTTATCTTTGATAAAAGACATTCCAGTTTAAACATTCTTACTATTTTTCATAAAATCTTGCTTTATTTGAAATAAAAAAAATTATAAGATGATTAAGTTGCTTTATTTCGGCCGAGTCTCTTTCTTGTTTTGTTTTTTTTTTTGTTACCTAAAAGTTAAAATTTGTGTCATGTGGTTTCCTATTGTGTTTCTGTTAATGATTGTTTTCATACTTTGTGTGAGATGGAGTTATATAATGATTAGACAGTAGAGAAATCTCTATTAGTTTGCTTGTTTTTGTTTTATTTTCAGAAAATTTGAATTGTTTATATTCAAATTACTAATCAAAAATAATAAAATTTAAGTTTTAAGAGAGAAATAATTAAAATTCTAAAAATAAATCTATAAACTTCTTTCTATTAGAAATTATATAAATGAAAATTCTATGTGAGTCTCTTAAGCTGTAGTGTATGTGTATCATTCATTGTCAGAAACTCTCTTCTCTCTATTAAATCTGGAAGATGTAATCATAAAGCTTCTAATAAAGCAGAATAAATAAATAAATGTAATAAAATAATAATATATTATAAATAGATATGATTAAAAATTTGTCTTTATAAAATATTTAACATAAAATGTCTCTCTATATAAATGTTTATCCATAATTTTTGTATACAAAACGTATAAAAGTGAATATTTATTGATATTGAAGTAATATGTATTTTGTATTTTTGTACGGGGAAAGTACACATGCAAATTTAATGTTTACTTTATTTATTTTTCAGGTAATGTTTACCGAAGATGACGTAAAATTTTATTTAGCGGAATTAGCATTAGCGTTAGATCATCTGCATAATCTCGGAATTATATATCGAGATCTAAAACCCGAAAAGTTAGTTTACCATTTTTATTTTGCACGATAATTAAATAAATAATTTATTAAAATTTATTCCTATAATTGACTCTTAATGATGTGTCATTTTGTAAGATAAATGTGCATCAGATTTATTCTTTATTAATGATAAACCGAGAAAGATAAGTTAATAGAATGCCATAAAGACACTTAAATCTGATATAAAAACTAGATGTAGTAGTGTAGATCTCATACTATTTGTTAGTATCTGTAGTGCCGATGCCAAACAAATATTTGACACTAGATAATACTACAGATATATTCAGTATAAAATATACTATTAACTTGTAATGCCTATAGTACTAGTATATAATAAGATAATTATAATTGAAGCAAGTATGCTCAGTCATTATAGTTGTCTAGTATCTTATAACTTATGCTATCACTCATTTTACAGATGATTTGAAGCACTATGTAAATGCTTAAAGTATTAATTATATTATTTTATATTTTTTACATATTCTCAAACAAATTAAGAAGCAATGTTATAATGATAACACATTAAAGAGACTGAATTGTTTCAACATATAAGGGCAGATCAATAAATAATCAGTCAGAGCAACTAACCATACTGTTGCTTTCGGCTAGTTATCTTTTGATCCATTCTTTTAAATATATTCCTTATACAAGCTGAACTTTATTTACCAGTTGTACATTAGCTTTTATGATAATTCTTCCACAAATTTGTTGTTTTTTTTTTTTTTTTGAAGAATAAAGCAAAACTAATTGTATTTGTTTGTTTCAAAAACATTACAGTATCTTGCTGGATGCGGACGGGCACATACGTCTGACGGATTTCGGACTGAGCAAGGAAGCTCTCAGCGACCAAAAGACATATTCATTTTGCGGTACCGTAGAGTACATGGCGCCCGAAGTTATCAATAGGAAGGGTCATACAACGGCTGCCGACTGGTGGTCTTTCGGAGTCTTAATGGTAAGAACGGTCTTTTGTAACTTGCTTTGATTATTTGTATTAAAAAAATAGTAACAATAAGCTCGTATCTTTATCCGAAACAATTTATTTATTTTAAAATATAAAATGTCAAAGGTACAAAATTGTTTTTATTTGGAGTATTTTTTCATTAAAAAATAAGATAATTTTCTAAAACAATATTTACCTTTATTTTTATATTATTTAATCAGTTTGTGAATTATTTATTAACAATTTTTTGAATTACACATTATTTTTATGTACACTAAGAAAAAAGATTTTATACTTATATAATGCTTTTAAAATGAAAAATTTAATTATTTTTTTTCTTAAAAATTAAAATTTTAATCATAGGCATCTATATATATTGATGCTAAAATTGTTATGAAGGTTCAGAGACCTGAAAGGGTTTATATAATTTTGGAATTAAATATATTTTGAAAGATTATAGTAATTCCATACATTTAAATTAAAAAGTGGAGATTAAAAAATTAAATTTATTGGGTCGGTGGCCACATCCTCTTCTTCCCATCGAAGGTTCGCGACCGCAGCTTCATTTCTTTCGGAGACTACCTCCTCTTCCCACCATAACCCTTACCCTTTTTGTGCTCGCCTTCATTGTTTACCTTTCATTTCCCCTGGAGATCCATTCCGATTCTTTTACCTACTTTGAACACCTTCCTACGGGGGCGAAATGGCTGGTGTGGGAAAAAAATCCAAACTGATATTTAATTAAAGAACTGCCTAAGATTATTGTTAATTTGTGGATTTGAAGGCATTTCTTGATAAAAAGTGGAGGAAAAAATTAAATGGGGAAAAAAATAAAAAATTGACTTTAATTTTCTTTATCGACCCTAGATGGCAGTAAAGGCACATCAAAGCATAAAGTCAAGCAGAATCTAAGTTTTTGTATACAGAATAGTTACAAAGTGATTTAATTTTTTTNGTAAAAATAAACAAAATTTATTTTAGAAAATTCGGAAAAATTATTTGATAATAAATCGTTTGAAAGGTGTACCTTTTGTAATTGGCAACTTGAGAAATGTCACTTGATTCCTTTAGTTCTTATTTTTCTTAATTATCTTTAATTTTAGAATTCTGTTCTGTTGTTTAATGATTTATTTCTGGTGATGTAATGTTGTATTAGTTTATTAATATTGTTCAAAGTATCTCAAAATTCTTGGTAATACTGCTATAAAATTATATTGTTTTAAATGTAACTAAGAATGCATCATCACTGACTTTTATGAAAGTAAAAACGCGTTCGGCTGCAAAGTACAAAGTCAAATTGATGATAATTTTATCGAGACGTGTTTCGTTATCGTTGGAAATATAATTCGGAAACATATAAGCACATATTGTTTTGATCTTGCTATTCTATGCTTTGACTTTTTCTTGAAAGAATATTATTTAATACTTTAATTATCTTTAACAGATATTCACGAAGTAATTTTTAAATGTCGCTTTAGAATAAAGTCGACAAATGCAATTGGTTGGCTGTGAATTTATAGAAAAAATGATATCAATTTTATTTGGAAATTTGACACGGAATAGTTTTAATAACAAAGAAATGCCGAATAAACATATTTCCATAATAGAAATACGTTTATTCGGCAATCTGTTAGCGATGAAAACAGTTTATCAATAGTATTAATCATTTTTGCTAGTGGGATTTTATTGTCGAAACGTAAACGTCTGCATTTGGAAACAATGTGATTAATATTCTCTTTGATATTCATCAATCAAATGCAATTTTTAATTTGTTTTGGGATTTCTCAAAGTACGATACGCTTAAAAAAATCAAATTTGATTGATTTAATCAAAGCGATAAAATTTGGATGATGCACTTTAAGTTAAAGTTTTTTACTTTTTTATTAGAATTCGTTTTATTCTTTATTCTAATTTAAACTTATTCGAAGTTAACAGTTTCATTTTCAGAAGTTAGATGACGAAGACTCTAGTTTTGGAAATGTTTAAGTCAAGTTGAAGAAAAGAACCAAACTGATGCCAGTCAAGTCATATTTATAATTGAAAAGTGTAATTGTTTTTGTTAATAATCGATTCTGAATTTGGTTTATGTGGAGTCAAACTTTACAGAAGTGTTATTGCTATAACTTAGTTTGTATGTAACACAGAAAATGTGGATGTTAGGTAGGCATGATGAGACTAAATCCTCAGGAAAATGGAAGTCCTTCCCTTTTATTTATAATTAATTTAATAACAAATTTTTACAATTGGAGAAGTTCACTCTACATAAAAATGTCTGAAAATCAGTTAAGTATTGAAATTGGGAATAATTTAATCTAACAATTGCTTATAAATCTGCTTTTATATACAGCATCGGAATATATTTAAATATTAAAACAAAAAACTTTTGAATGTTGGAACAGTATACTATTTTCAGCTTAACGCATTCCATTTGGCCAATTATTATAAAAGGTTTTAGTTATGTAAACAATAAACTTCAATTTAAATATTAGATTAAGCTTTTTTTGAAAAAAAATATTTTATCTATCTGGAATTAATTGAACTGAAAGAACATTATTTAAGTAATTAGATGGAAGATACGCAGATTAAAATAAATTAAAATATGAAGATAACATTTAAATTATAAGAATAAATATGTATATACACTAATAACTTATAAAATTACTTAAATTTATATAATTGAAGAAATAATTATGAAAATGTAAGGTTGAAAAGCTTGTTAAACCTGAAAAAACACTATAATAATTTAGTAAACAAGTAAACAAAAATTTACCTTTAAAAATTGATTCAAACAACAAGTAAAACTAAACAATAGCTCATCATTCACTAGCTACTTGGCTGACACTTCTGGATTTCTGCCAGCTAAAGTATTACTGTTACGTTCTTATGGTCAACTGACAACGCGACTTTTTCTGTCTACTCGTGTAATGTCTTTTCAATGATGTTTTCATGTAAATTTGCTTTTTTGCACCTCTTCTGTTGTAATGTATTGACGTGTAATTTATTTTTCTTTTTTACTTTAATTTTTTTTTTTACTTTTTAAGATGATTTTTTTGCATGTACTTGGATATTTTTCACAAATGTCCAAGTGAGCGAAGTTTCTTGTTCTGAATATATTTTTCTCTATTAATAAGAATGTACAACAGCTGTGCTAATTTAATATAATAATGTAGCCGAGAACGCTGTCGTTAACTCGTTACGGTGGGCCTCGCCAACACGTAAACCTACTGTTGGTGTGGTCCCACTGTTGCTGCTGTAATAATTAGTTTGATGCGTTCTATTGTATTAGCTCTTGTTATATCAGACTCTATGCACAGATGTGAAATTGAAGATACATTCTCTTTTGTTAATTAAGTTTTATGTTTAATAAACAAATAAAGCTACAACTTATTAAATTTTTTTTATAATAAATCTAAAATGTTCTAATATTTTGCCATATAAAAAACGAACATTAGCAAACTGTTGAGTTCATTAAACTTTTGCAGTATATTTTTAATGGTATGCCAATTATTCCTTGTCTGTCACGTCACGTAAGGAATTGAAAAACGAATTACCTTCTTAGACATGCCTACTGTTTTGAAGCACCAAAGTATTCTGCTTAAATTAAATTCCTGTTTAAAATTAGATGTATTAATTCAGAAATGATTCTTTAAGTTAGAATTTTAGATCATGAACAAGCTTTGCATTTGCATTCCATTAATTATGTATTGTGCCGTGTTAATGATTGATCTGTGTTGTTCGGCTTCGTTACAACACATTTTTAAACATGGTTTCACAGAAAGGGAAAAATACTTATAGTTACTGGAAATTAGCATGAATAGGAAGTAATGTAGAATGTGTGCCTAGTCATTATTATATTGAATTTATAGATTCTATTTAAAAAAAATGATTCATGTTTATTAATCATGGCGTTACACTAGAAGTGTAATGACTGATCAAACAAAGAATAAAAAAAGGAAAGAGTTAAAATAGAATCAATAAAAATACTTTATATATTTGATATTTGTCCTAAAAAGTTGTTTTAATGGAAGATAAATATGTATTTTTGATCCAAAATTCAGTCTTTTATATAAAAAAAAGTTTTAAGTTTTTTTTTTTTTTAGTAAGGGATGAAAAATTCGTTTTATTGATTTTATTCGGCCATTTTTATAGTTTTTGAAGAGAGGTGGTGTCTCACATTTGTCACCGTCCCATGCTTGTCTTGCCCCTTTCTCTGTATGAATCGTTTCTTGGAACACAAAGATCTGTTTTGTTTCATTCCCACATAATGCTGGTGATGTAATCAAATATACAAACATTGCTAAACCCGATATAGCTAAACACCAACTAAATGCCGAAATTCTATTGGATTAGCCCGATAGAATTTCGGCATTTAGTTGGTGTTTAGATGTAATCAAATGACAAAGTTAAAATAAAGAATTCTGCTTAAATATATATTGATTCGATATAGTTCCTAACTTCAGAAAAATTCAGAATTTTATGTCCTCAAATGAGGCCTGTGCTGCATTTAAGTGTTAGAGTAAATAAAACTTTTTATATTTTTATTTAAAATAAAAGTTTTATTTCTTTTAAGTACTAATTTAACTTAAAAATGATGTGAAAATTTTAGCGTTTAAACTAATCTTAAGTCATTTAAATCTTCAAAAAGTGGCCCTCCAATAATTTTTCATTAATTTTATTGAGACATTTACAGATTGACGCAAATTATATCTCCAAAAGAAGGCACTTTAAACGCAAACGTGTCATAAAATAACTCAAAATTTTAGTACTTTTGTTTAGTTTTATAACAAAAAATGTTTATGGAGGATATTTTAAAATGGTTTTTTAAGTGCGAACAAAAGTTTTATTATTATTTATCTTTGATAAAAGACATTCCAGTTTAAACATTCTTACTATTTTTCATAAAATCTTGCTTTATTTGAAATAAAAAAAATTATAAGATGATTAAGTTGCTTTATTTCGGCCGAGTCTCTTTCTTGTTTTGTTTTTTTTTTTGTTACCTAAAAGTTAAAATTTGTGTCATGTGGTTTCCTATTGTGTTTCTGTTAATGATTGTTTTCATACTTTGTGTGAGATGGAGTTATATAATGATTAGACAGTAGAGAAATCTCTATTAGTTTGCTTGTTTTTGTTTTATTTTCAGAAAATTTGAATTGTTTATATTCAAATTACTAATCAAAAATAATAAAATTTAAGTTTTAAGAGAGAAATAATTAAAATTCTAAAAATAAATCTATAAACTTCTTTCTATTAGAAATTATATAAATGAAAATTCTATGTGAGTCTCTTAAGCTGTAGTGTATGTGTATCATTCATTGTCAGAAACTCTCTTCTCTCTATTAAATCTGGAAGATGTAATCATAAAGCTTCTAATAAAGCAGAATAAATAAATAAATGTAATAAAATAATAATATATTATAAATAGATATGATTAAAAATTTGTCTTTATAAAATATTTAACATAAAATGTCTCTCTATATAAATGTTTATCCATAATTTTTGTATACAAAACGTATAAAAGTGAATATTTATTGATATTGAAGTAATATGTATTTTGTATTTTTGTACGGGGAAAGTACACATGCAAATTTAATGTTTACTTTATTTATTTTTCAGGTAATGTTTACCGAAGATGACGTAAAATTTTATTTAGCGGAATTAGCATTAGCGTTAGATCATCTGCATAATCTCGGAATTATATATCGAGATCTAAAACCCGAAAAGTTAGTTTACCATTTTTATTTTGCACGATAATTAAATAAATAATTTATTAAAATTTATTCCTATAATTGACTCTTAATGATGTGTCATTTTGTAAGATAAATGTGCATCAGATTTATTCTTTATTAATGATAAACCGAGAAAGATAAGTTAATAGAATGCCATAAAGACACTTAAATCTGATATAAAAACTAGATGTAGTAGTGTAGATCTCATACTATTTGTTAGTATCTGTAGTGCCGATGCCAAACAAATATTTGACACTAGATAATACTACAGATATATTCAGTATAAAATATACTATTAACTTGTAATGCCTATAGTACTAGTATATAATAAGATAATTATAATTGAAGCAAGTATGCTCAGTCATTATAGTTGTCTAGTATCTTATAACTTATGCTATCACTCATTTTACAGATGATTTGAAGCACTATGTAAATGCTTAAAGTATTAATTATATTATTTTATATTTTTTACATATTCTCAAACAAATTAAGAAGCAATGTTATAATGATAACACATTAAAGAGACTGAATTGTTTCAACATATAAGGGCAGATCAATAAATAATCAGTCAGAGCAACTAACCATACTGTTGCTTTCGGCTAGTTATCTTTTGATCCATTCTTTTAAATATATTCCTTATACAAGCTGAACTTTATTTACCAGTTGTACATTAGCTTTTATGATAATTCTTCCACAAATTTGTTGTTTTTTTTTTTTTTTTGAAGAATAAAGCAAAACTAATTGTATTTGTTTGTTTCAAAAACATTACAGTATCTTGCTGGATGCGGACGGGCACATACGTCTGACGGATTTCGGACTGAGCAAGGAAGCTCTCAGCGACCAAAAGACATATTCATTTTGCGGTACCGTAGAGTACATGGCGCCCGAAGTTATCAATAGGAAGGGTCATACAACGGCTGCCGACTGGTGGTCTTTCGGAGTCTTAATGGTAAGAACGGTCTTTTGTAACTTGCTTTGATTATTTGTATTAAAAAAATAGTAACAATAAGCTCGTATCTTTATCCGAAACAATTTATTTATTTTAAAATATAAAATGTCAAAGGTACAAAATTGTTTTTATTTGGAGTATTTTTTCATTAAAAAATAAGATAATTTTCTAAAACAATATTTACCTTTATTTTTATATTATTTAATCAGTTTGTGAATTATTTATTAACAATTTTTTGAATTACACATTATTTTTATGTACACTAAGAAAAAAGATTTTATACTTATATAATGCTTTTAAAATGAAAAATTTAATTATTTTTTTTCTTAAAAATTAAAATTTTAATCATAGGCATCTATATATATTGATGCTAAAATTGTTATGAAGGTTCAGAGACCTGAAAGGGTTTATATAATTTTGGAATTAAATATATTTTGAAAGATTATAGTAATTCCATACATTTAAATTAAAAAGTGGAGATTAAAAAATTAAATTTATTGGGTCGGTGGCCACATCCTCTTCTTCCCATCGAAGGTTCGCGACCGCAGCTTCATTTCTTTCGGAGACTACCTCCTCTTCCCACCATAACCCTTACCCTTTTTGTGCTCGCCTTCATTGTTTACCTTTCATTTCCCCTGGAGATCCATTCCGATTCTTTTACCTACTTTGAACACCTTCCTACGGGGGCGAAATGGCTGGTGTGGGAAAAAAATCCAAACTGATATTTAATTAAAGAACTGCCTAAGATTATTGTTAATTTGTGGATTTGAAGGCATTTCTTGATAAAAAGTGGAGGAAAAAATTAAATGGGGAAAAAAATAAAAAATTGACTTTAATTTTCTTTATCGACCCTAGATGGCAGTAAAGGCACATCAAAGCATAAAGTCAAGCAGAATCTAAGTTTTTGTATACAGAATAGTTACAAAGTGATTTAATTTTTTTGGATTATTCTTAATTAAATTTATTTATTTATTTTAAAGAAAATTTGAGTCTTCTATTCCAAAATTATATCAATACTGTTGTTTATGTGTATTATGTGGACATAGTACTTTTATGTACCTATAAAAAGACAAAAAATGCAGAATGTGATCATCTTTTTTACATTATTTACATATGAAAATATTCTTTACAATATATTTCTTAATAGTTTAAGAGATTAACAGCACATACAATGATACATAAATCTCTAAAATGTATAAGAAGCTGTTTAGTTTGTGTATTCTGGATATTCTTTCCTCTTAAATCATCTTTATTTATACCAATAAAGCTATTCAAAAGTGAACTGTCATCGAAAATAATTGGGTACGTTAATAAAATGACAGACATCAACTAAGCAAATATACTTTTTCGACTGCCATCTGTCTTGGTGAACAATAGAACCCTCCGATGACGGTGCAGAGACGTTTCGGAACACGGCACGAAAGCATCGTTGCCCGTATTCGGTCTTGAGAAAGGTCAATATTTGACCACTAGTCCTTAGTACTTGTTAGCCTGTATTTGTGATTGTCGATAGATATAGTGTGAGTAATTTTCTGCTTCTAAACGTACCAGATGTTTTATTATTATTTAATTTTTTAAAAATATGCTGAAAATTAAATACAACTTTATTTTTTTTTTAACCCAGTTTGAAATGTTGACTGGAGCATTGCCGTTTCAAGGCACGAATAGGAAAGAAACTATGATGCAGATACTGAAGTAAAAGTTTTTTTTTTTTTTTTAATTTTAATTTTAAAAAAGCATACATATGTACAGTACTTAAATTATCTAATTTGTTTTTCAGAGCCAAATTGGGAATGCCACAGTTTTTAAGTCCGGAAGCGCAAAGTCTTCTCCGAGCACTCTTCAAAAGAAATCCGGCAAACAGATTAGGTGAGGCAGTTTTTTTTACAGAGATAAATTCACACGTTACACTGAAACATCATTTAAAAGTTAAAGAAATAAAGTTTTATTCATTAAATTATCCTAATTGGATACAATTTTATATAATAATTGATTATCTCACCATTCTCTTACCTTCTGTACCCAAACACTTCTAATTTACCATTATATTTTTGAAAATTTAAAAGAGAGCATCCTCGGCATTAAAAAGTCAGAACACTTTGCCCGACAGATTGATTCTGAAACCATAAAGATGCAAGATTTATAAACGAGAACCTGTCTAAAAATCAGATTTTTTAAAGGAGAGAACAAATCTTTTGCATAAAATGAAACCATTCGGGATCGATACTCCAAATTTGCACCATCATTAAGCTTACTCGTGATGCAGAGAAGAATTCACCCACCTCTGCGGGTTTGCGTTTACATTCCAAAGTTTCCTTGCTAAGTAAACTCCACTGGACAGAAATCAATGGCCAGTAGAACATTACAGGAAGCCTTTTGTATACAATATTAAGTTTCTTGTAAATTTATGGTCCCTCCTTACAGACCACTGTAAACAATTCAGCCAACAAACTGACATATTTCATACCCAACTACAAGTAGATATTATAATTTAACATAAAGATATTATAATTGAATACCTTTTCAATAGGTACAAAGACAAATTCATTAATATTTCCAATTATTTTATATTTAGATGACAAACAAAGAAATATTGTTAAGCAAGCAAAAACTCAATAGATTAATTAATTAAACCATTGTTAATTTTAATTATCCCACGGCCAATTGTTTTCACCGATTCTATAGTAATGGAGTTTTTATGGTATTATATGGTAAGCCCTAAATATATACCTTTATCTTGTTATATTTACGTCAGCGTTTAAGCTCCCAGGCATTTTTATTTGTCTCCTCATTGTTTATACTGTTTTTCTTTGGAAAACGTTATGTAACGGAACAAAGGTACACCCAAACTGATATTATTCTTTGTCACAAGCATTCCACATTTAATTCCGCGAATAAAGTTACATTATTCTACCCAACCGAATTAATTTTCCGAGGTAAGGAGCTATTTTAGGAGCAGTAAAAAGCAATAAAGCCCCCTCTAACGTTTAAGTTGTCACGTTTGTAATATTGCTAAATATGTTTTGTTTGCCCGTTTAATGTATGGATTAATCTCCCCCTAACCAATTGCCATCCAGGATCGGGACCGGAAGGCGTGGAGGATATTAAGTGTCATCCATTTTTCGCGACAATCGACTGGGACAAATTGTACAGGAGAGAAATTACCCCACCCTTCATCCCGGCAGTCAGCAGGGCCGATCACACTTTCTATTTCGATAAAGAATTCACCACGAGGACACCAGAAGGTAGGTGTGTCGAGTAGAAAAAAACAAAAAGGGCGGCAGCCTTGTGCCACCAGCAGCATCCCCCCCTTACCGTCTCCAAATTTAGATTCTCCGGGAGTACCACCCAGTGCCACCGCTCACGAATTATTTAGAGGTTTCAGCTTCGTGGCTTCCACCCTATTGGACGAGGGTTGTCAAAAGACCGAGAACGACGCCACCAATCAGGTGAGGAAACTGAAAAAAATTACGCGCCAAATTGCGCGCTGTTTCCACCCCCCGTAACGTGACGCTGGAATTTGCAGGTGACGGGCAAGAGTCTGACGTACAAGGACACCATCTACAAGGAGTACGAGTTTAAGGAGAATCTAGGAACCGGCAGTTACTCCGTCTGTCGTCGTTGCATCCACAAAGAATCGGGAAGGGAGTACGCCGTTAAGGTATCTTCTCCCTTGTTTAAGGTGTTCGCGCGCGTCTCCCCCTCCTCCTAGCGGTAATTGGAATTTACCAGGGAGATTTTCGTTGTTGTAGGACCGACCCGTATGTATACGGAGGACGTGGGGCGAACCATCGATTTAACGGTTGATCTCCGAACCCGCTCCTCTTCAATTCTCCACTCTACCCGACCGTTACGATCTTAGTTTGAACTTGTCTTTTAATTATCGGAGATGTTTATAATTGTATTTTCGATCGAGTGGAGGAGATACAACGAAGGTTACGCTCGTTAATAAGTTGGCGTAGGATGCGGTTGACGTTTCCGGTACAATTATTGCCGTTCCAAGTGTCGAAAACCGGATCTCCACTCCAGCTTCTTAATAATAACGGCGCACCGTAACCCGTTTAAATAATTAAGGCCGGTCGCGGCGATTAAATCGCTTTCCGTCCCGCGATCTTATCCATTTCTGCCGGATAAAGGAGAGCGTAACAATTGTAGGTTTTAGAAAGCGGGCGCCATCTTGGATCCGCCCGATTATAAAAACTTGGCGTAACGCATTAAGGTTTGTGTAATTCGCCGCTTAAAAAATTCGCATGGCTTTAATTAAGACGCGGTTACGATCAATCGCTTGGCGTAAACCGCGCGCCCCGCTCTAATTGTCGTTCCTTTTTTGTTGCTCTTCTCTTCTCTAATCCCTCTCCGAAGATCTTGTTTGCATTAAAGCCATTCGGAAACGTTTCCGAGTAAATAGTGGAAATTTACCGAGCCTAGTGGAGAATAATGAAGAAGAGGAGACGAACGTTACGCCGAACACGCCACTTAAACCGTAAACGATCGCTCGGCGTAACTTGAAAAATAAACCTGCAACTCGGTCTCTCGATTACTCTATAATTTGTATACGTGTCGATCGGTTTAGTGGAGAATTGACCGCGTCGCGAAGGCGGTGTTGCGTGACGCGCGCCGCCGTTACTCTTCTCGTTTTCCTTAATTTACGCGGTTTATTAATAAATCGAGTGGTTAAAACGTCTCCCGTAACGTAAGTCTTACCGGAAAATGTGTAACCGGCGGCGTGACGTTTCTCTCGCTCGTCTCGAACGTTACGAATGCGTCACTGACGGCGATTTTTATCTTTCAGATTGTAAATAAGTCGAAGAAGGACTGCCAAGAGGAGATCGAGATCCTGCTGCGTTACGGACAGCATCCTAACATCGTCACGCTTTACGACGTAATTACGTAGTTGGTTACGCGAGCGATTTCGTTCATTTTCCTCCCCCTTCTCTCCCCCGGAATCCTTTTAATTCCGTTCACTCGTTTCTTAACGCGGCAATTACTAACGACCGTCACCCAAAATAGAATCGGGGTTCACCTCGCGGAATACAGATGACCGGAGCACGCGATATTTCGCCACACCCACGGCAAACAAATAGGAGAGAGAACCTTTTATCACGCGCGACTTTTCGGGTCGTTAAATCGATGACGAGAGTCACGTTCCGTTCGTGAACAGGTTTACGAAGACGCCACCTCCGTCTACCTGGTGATGGAGTTGCTGAAGGGGGGCGAGCTGCTGGACAAGATCCTCAGCAAGAAGTTCTTCAGCGAGAGGGAAGCTAGCGCCGTGCTCGAGGTCATCTGCAGGACCATCAAGTACCTGAATGACAACGGGGTAAGCTCCCCTCCCGTAGACCCCTCATCCTCGATTAACGGACTTTTATCTATTTGTTCTTCTCTTGGTGCAGGTGGTTCACCGGGATCTGAAGCCGTCGAACATCGTCTATGCGGACCAATTGGAAAACCCCGAATGCCTGAGAGTGTGCGATTTTGGCTTTGCTAAACAGATCAGGGCGGAGAACGGGCTGCTGATGACCCCCTGTTACACGGCCAATTTCGTGGCTCCGGAGGTGCTCAAGAGGCAGGGCTACGACGAGGCCTGCGACGTTTGGAGCATGGGCGTTCTGCTCTACACTATGTTGGCTGGGTAATCACGATATAAATAATAATAATAATAATAATCCGAATTGCCCCGTCATTTCTCGACCCTCCGGCCACGCCCCGACGTATTATTTTGTATTTTTTTTTCCTCCCCTCGGACCTTCGTGACGCGGGGCGTGTCGTAAATTCGTTAGGGAAGACGGACGAGTTTCCGCGTGAATCGAACTGGAAACTCGCGAGAACCCTCGGCTCTTGGCGGAATTTTGAGAGGGAATTCCCGGTTAAAAGGAAGGCGAGGCGGTTGGGAATTCTCCCCCTTTCGTGTCCGACGAACAGGCTTGGCCGGCCGCGAAGTGGGAGAGGGGTGCCGACCTAAGGACCTTAGGTCGGCACCCCTCTCATTTGTCCGACTCATTTGTTTCCTTCCGCAGGCATTCTCCGTTCGCCAACGGACCCAACGATACACCAGGCGAAATTCTGGCCAGGATCGGAGAGGGCAGGTTCGAGCTGACCGCGGGTAACTGGACGAACATCAGTTCTCCCGCCAAGGTAACACCCGATTTCTTTCCGATTTGCGTCACTTCCAGTCGGCCGGACGATAAAAACTTTTCTGTTTTCTCTTCCCGCAGCATTTGGTACAGAAGATGCTGCACGTGGACCCCAAGCAGCGGTACAGAGCGGGAGACATCCTGAACCACGTGTGGATCACGGGCCGGGACCGCTTGCCCAGCGTTCAACTATTACACCAAGAAGCCCAATTGGTCAAGGTGAGGACTGGGTTCGGCTCTTTCCATTACCTTAAGGGAAGGAGGAAAAGGGGGTGTTTAAGAGAAAGCGGCGCCGGAAGGGAGGGAACGTTTTTGACTAAAACGAAGGTTTTCTTTCGCAGGGAGCCACGGCCGCCACCTTCGACGCCATCAGCAATTACCCGACGCCCCCCAACCTGGAACCGGTGGCCGCCTCGGAGCTGGCCAGAAGAAGAGCCAGGACGCGACCCAAGTCGTCGGCGGAAGCGTAGGAGGAGGAGGAGGCGAGACACGAGCCGGGGCCCCACCCCCTTCCGTCTCGGACGAACGAGGGCGGGCCGCGGCCAGGCGCCTCGTCTTGGATTTTTTTTAAAAAAGAAAAGCTCTAACTTATTTCCAGCGGCCCGCTTGGGCCCCTTGTACAGAAGAAGACGAATAAGAAATTGTGTATCAAGCGCGGGTGCTCCGCTTTTTTGTTTTCTGTTGCTCTTTTTTTAAAAAAAAAAAATGTGGTTTAGACGTCGTTCCGGATGACCTACAACGAAAAACGCCCGACAACGTTCCGATTTTTGTACTCTACCTCTGTCACGTGATCAGTGGATGTCAAGCTCGGCAGCAATATCTATTTTCTCTCAATCTTTTTTCTCTTTTACTCTCTCTAACTCTGTCTCATTTGTAAAATTTTGACTTTCAATAAACCGACATCGCATCCTTCCGTCCTCTTTATTGTCTCAGCCGTCGGGAACGGGTTTCGCGCGCGCCGTGACTACACGCCGGTAAGGGGAGAGACCCGGGGAGTACCGGAAGACGGAAACCGCCGCTAATTTTCCGTTTAGTAGGGACGCGCGTCGTCGGCCCGATTTGGGAGACGGGGCGGCGCCCGCTTCGTCCTCCTCAGCCCGCGCGGCGGGGATACGGAAAACGGATGACGTCAAAGATGTTGACTCGCACCGAGAGGAGACCTAAATTTATTCTATAAATAGCCGAGCGAATCTTGTCAACAGCGACTTCTCTCTCTCTCTCCTCTCTCCATGATTTTCCCAGCGCCTTTTTGTTTTTTTTATTATTTTTATTTTATTATTCGCTCCGATCTAATCGAATTTTCGCTCTCTCCTTTGTCCTCGTTTCCCATGCGTTGGCGCGCGCGCGTCTGGTCGCGACGCGTTTCGACCGGCGGGGGAGGAGGAAGAGGAGGCCGTGGGGGAGAGAGGCGGGGAGGAACTACTTTCGACCTCGAACGGACGAAGATGCGCGCTGCGGGGCGAACCAATTTTCTTTTCGTTGGCGGCAATCACCGGCTCATTCACTTCTCTTCCTCCGCCGGCAATTATCGTTCCGCTCACGCGCCGCGGGCTGGACGCCGACCCGCGGCGCGCGGGGATTACTCGTTATTCCGTTGTCGGCGGCGCGCGCCTGGCGCAGGCTCGGGGCGAACTGGTAACTAATTAGACAATCCCGCGTCCCGGTGAACCGCGGCGTAGGACGTCGGAGGGTCTGTCCATCCCCCTTTACCTCCCTCCTGGACGGACGTTCGCCGTCCCGCTTCATGGCGCCTGGCGGCCGTCTGGGCGGACGTCCGCAGACGATCTGTGGTCCCGACAACTACTTGTTGCCGTCGATCTCCGTCGCACCTGTTCCTCCTCTTCCTCCTCCCTCTTCGCGTTTCCGTTTCCAAAAATAGAAGACTTTCCTCGACCGACTTCTCTATTCTCGCTCGCGCCGATCGGCGCCGCGGCGCTAACGAAGGTTAGGACGGGGTAAGAACCGGAGACTGGAAGAGTGACGTAGACGAGTACTTAAGAACATCGCATCGACAAACGAGATTTTAACGGAACGGGAGAAAATCGAGCGGCACCTTTGGTCTGTAAGCGGCCGCTCGACGCTGGCCGTTAGGCCGACCCATCGCGCCCCGGGGGGAGAAGGTGGGCTTTTTGGGGCTTCGTCGATTGTCGGGCGCGTGATTCCGGTGGCTTGAAAGGTGATAGAAGAGGAAAGAAGACAAACGGCGGGCGGGTGTTCGCGTGCACCGAAAGAAAACGATACCGTTTGATCCTTAATCGTGGCGTCACAATGGGTTTTACACACAGGGCACTTATCGGAAACAATAGGAAAGGCGTGGAGTTTGAGTAATTACAGCTTCTGTTGGAGTGGGAATATCGCGTTATCGCTCGGGTGTTAGTAATTTAGAGTCGAAGGCGTGGCTCTTCCTCCCTTTGCCATCGACGTCGTCTGGACCGCCGGTTCGGTCGGCGAGGCGAAACAGGTGATCCACAAGTGTCTCTCTCTCTCCTTTGGACCGGGTCCAGCCTGCACCCGGCAAAAACAAAGGATCGGGTCGAGCGAGAAAATCGAAGCGCGGATGACCGCGATTTTTCGCCTGGCGTTTCGAGACGCGACGCCCGGCCAACGTTGCGAATGGGAGTAGAGGGTGCCGTTACCCGGAATCGACTTTAATTCTCCTAATTCCGATCGGCACGCGATTCGCTCCGCTCGATGAAACGGAGTCGCCTACCTCTGCGCCTTTTTCCCCCCAAATTCGGAAACAATAAAGTGGCGTGAGAGGCCAAACCGCTGTTTTTCGGTCGGATCCGTGGGCCGATATTCGCCAGCCACCGCGGATCCGGGGCGGCTCCCTACTCCCGCCCGTTCCGAGTGGAACCTTCCGCCCCGCTAATCACGTGACCGTCAGGGACGCGTTTACCCGACTTCCCCGTCGGAAGAACGCCACTTTGGGGATTCCACGTAAACGGTGGAAGCTGCCCGGGGCAGGGTTTGCGGTTTCCACAGTCCCGCACGTCACGTGACGCGAGAAGACTCCGAACGGGAGGCACGTGAGTGTTTTCGCCCTTTTTTTCTCATAATCGCGCCTCCTAGCCGTTTTCCGAGCGGCGTCGGGACCGGAGGAGTATCGCGCGGTGGCGTGACCATCTCGGCACGCGCCGTCATGCGGCGGGCACGCGACGCGGTTGTCGACACGACGTCGGGGTTAACCGAGCCACCGAGGGGAGAGGGGGCGATGAAATTCCGGGAGAGCCTCCATTAATCCCGACGATCCCGACTTAATCGAGTAAATCGAAGCGGAAAGGGTACGTGGCCCCCGACAAGCGGCTTTTCCCGCTCGGAACTCCGTCGCGCGGGAAAGCCGGGATTTCGGGGGCATCCACCTGGTCCGCCAGCCACCAACGGCGCGGGACCAAGTTCAGAAGGAAACCGGAAGAGAGTGCTATTTTCGAGAGTTTACGAACCCACGGCAGCCCGGCGTCTCCAGAAAGTGCCCGTCCCTTTCCTACAGAATCGGAAGCGGCGGAAGACTCGGCCTCCTCCCATTGGTCGATTCGGCGGCGACTTCCTCCCGCCCGCCACCCTCTACCGTTTTGTCGCCGGTTCCTAAAGTTCCTTCGATTTTCGGCCTCCGTCGCCGCCTCAATCAACTTCCTTAGAGAATTGCGGGGGAGAAGGGGGGTTGGCGGGCGCTTTGGGGAAGGTAGCGTTTTAACCTACGAAAGGTTAGACAGGTGATCGCGGGTAAGAATATCGCGAAGAGGCGATCCACGCCTCCGATCGAAAAAATCAATATTTTTCCACTCGGCCCGCACTTTCTCGAGCTCGGCGCCGACGATTCTTAACCCAAACGAAGAAAATGGCAGCTTTCCTCTTTCGCTCCCTCCCCTCCCCTTCTCTCTCTCTAACTGCGGCCGACCGAAAATTCGGACGAATTAAGAAATCGCCGACGATTGTCGCTTTCAACTTCGCTCTCGTTCTTTCTCCACGGGGTTGTTATGTCACCAAAAGTCACCCCACGCTCCGACCTTCGGCGTCAATTAGATAAGACGACGATTTCGCCGTCGAAATTCTCGACTCGAACAGCTCTTTCCTTTCCCTTTTCGAACGTTCGACTTTCGATTTTTACTACCGAGCGTTCGTAAATACCTTCCGGAAAAAAGATATCGGCTTAAACGCTGGTTTTGTAAAATGTTGACTAATTCGGTCCGAAACCGGCTCCGGGTCGGAGGCGAAATTCTCGCGAGAGTAGAGGAAAGGGTCGGTTCTCGTCTCGCGCGATCTATCCAGACGAACACAGAGAATTTTTTTTCGGCGCGCCACCTGGACTTCAGTATGGAGGAAAGGTAAATTTCTGAAAAATGGAAAAAAAATAAAATAAAAATAGAAATAACCGGAAAGGTTATTTCCGCGAAGAATTGCGTTCGAGGGTCGAAACGGTTTTGCTTCCCAGAAATGGACGGGTGCCTGGAAATGACAGTTTTTTTCTTTCTTCGTAACCCCCACAGGGGGTGACGTTTCCAGAACCCGAATGCCACTTTATTCGTCCAGACGATTTACGGAGGTTTTCGGAGGATTCCGATGGTTTTCTTACTCCCTCTCGGGCGGGATTTTACCGAGGAGTAAAGTTCGTCGCCGGTCCGGAGGAGAAAGGTCGAAAGGTCGAGGAGGGGGAAGTGAACGCGCGACTACAGACCCGGTAGACGAAAGGGGAAGAAAGGCGAGTTTTACCGGAGAAAAGAGAAGCCGCGTCGCTCGGCGCCATCTTGTCACGGCGGAAGAAGAAGCGATCAATCACTCGCCGCCACCGCCGTTTCTCGGGGTGACCGAGGGAGGAGGGCCCGATTCCTCCTCCCCCTTTCGGACGACGACCAAGTGGCTAGCGGGGGCGGAAGTGGCCCCGGCAGCCGTCCGAAATTTCCATCCCGATAGAACGCGTGAGGGCCAACCCGGACCCGGCGACACCTTTCCCACCTGGGAGACCGAAACGGGTTCCTTCCACGTGTTCCCCCTCCGGAAAATTCGACGGCGCGCGCCCAACCCAAACGGGACCATCTCTAATCCGGTGCCCCCTACACCCGACGGGCCCGAAAACGAAGGAGGAGGGAGAAGTCCCTTCGTTCGCCGACCCGAGCGGAGCCCCGCGCGTGGTGGCTCGGGCCGGCGGTGGAGGGGCGGGGGCCCGAACGGCGGGCCGGGCCGGACCAATGGAAACGGGAACCGGTGGAGTCACGTGACGGGGGCGGTCCGCATTCGAAGTGACGTATCGAATGCAGCTACTACGCACGCTACCGCGCCAGAGTGAGGCTGGTAGATTGTGTGGGCGAGAAGAATAAATGTAGCCATACTGGTTCCATCTGGAGGCCGGACGCCGATGGTGAAGAGCCCGCTTCGACAGAGTGGATCCATGGTGTTGTGAGTCAGTCAGAGCCAAGCGATGGGAGGTGTGCATTTATGTCTTCTGTTGTTCCTCTGCACGGACCTTCTGGCCGCTCAACTCTCGCCGAGATCGCGGACTTTCGTCTCGTCTGCCGAGCAGAGGCCACTGCTCCCGGCCACGCAGGCGGCCGCCAACGACGTTCCGCGCGGCTCCTTCTTCCGCCAACCCTGGGCCAAGAGGGACCCCCGTTACTCGGACCCCGACAAGGTGGACCCCGCCGCCGGCCGCTCGCTCAGAGTGCGACGAGCCAACCGCCAGTACGACGTGCCCCAGATAGGTGAGTTGTGTGCGCGCGTGCCTCTTTACTCCGGGGGGACGGGCCGGCCACCTCCTCCCTCCCCGGGGGCCCGAGCGGTCGGGGAGAGGAAGGGGGGACGGACGGAACGGGGCCCCCTCGGGTGGGAGGGCCACGGCCGAATCACCGTTCCGGAAAGGGAAGACGCTCTTCTGCCATTCGGAAAAGTGACGAGTATTGCTCATTCATCCCGGTGCGCGGCACGATTTTATCGGCCGTGACGTCAATTCTATTTTTGGGATTGACTCACTCTTTAGTGTTTTCTCGTGTCGCTTCTCCCCGGCCCATTATCTGGTCGCGTGACCGAACGACCGCCGCCGACCCCGGGGCCGGAGGTCCCTCCCGTTGTAGGACGGAGGGGATCGGACTCTCCGAGACCCGTGCCCTACCCCTTTCGCAGCGGAGAGGGCGCGGTCGCCCCTTTCTCTCTCTCCCTCCCTCGGGGCGGCCGCGAACGGGAGCGACGGAGAGAGAAGGGAGCGTCAGGTGGGGGCGACCGCCCGACGAATTTACCGTCGGGCGAGAAAAACTTAATTCCATTAGAAGGAGCGGAGCGGGTCTCGAAGACGCCGCTCTATCGATCTCCGGTGTCTGTCAGTCCTCGGTGCCTCGTCTTCGAGCGGGCCCCGTCCGGGCCCCACCGGCTTTTCTTTCCCCTCGCCGCCTTCATCCTCACCGGGCGGCGCCGATTCGGCCCTCGCTTTCTTTCTCGCCCGAGACCCGTGGCCCCCGACCGATGGTTCTTGTGGCCACGCGGTCCTTCCTACCCCTTTCCCTTGAGAGACGTTCGTCTGGGGAAGCGGCGCCTTTTACGTCTCTTCTCTTTCATCCTCGTCCTCCGCCCGTCACTCCCAGGATTCTAAAATTAGTAAAGGTCACGCTCCGAGGCGCCAGAAGTGACGCGGCGCCCACCTTTCTTCCGAGGGGAGGAAACCGTCGACTTCCTCCGACGGGAAGGAGAGAAAAAAGCCAGCGCCGGCCCCGCGGGTCGGCCTCTCCCGCCGTCCGGAGACTCGGCGGGCGAGCGCCATTTACAGGGGGACGGAGACGGAGGGCCTTTCCTTTTTGCCGGGAAAGGGTGCGCCGTCGGAAGGGAGAAGAAGAGGGTAAGGGCTCGACCCCGGTGCCCGTCCGGGTGGTCGGGGCGACGAGATGGACAGACGGGAGGTTGGCGACCTTTCCCCTTCGGCCGATTATCGCCGCCGAAGGCATCGATCGCGCCGCACGAGACGTTATCTCTTTGTCTAGGACCGAAATTCGGAAGGGGGCGGCAGGAGGAGGAGGAGGGGGAGGGCTTGAGTCATCTTCCGTCATCCATGATTCATGGCATCTTTGGAACCGCAGCCGACTGACTCCAGACAATCTGCCAAGCGGATGCGAAACGACACACAAAGCAACCTGGACGGAGGACGTGTGCATCCGCTAGATTTCGCCATTGATCGCCTCTTGGCGCCACAAACATCGAACAAAGTCCGTTCGGTCGAATCCAACTCGTCCTGGTTGTTGCTACTGGCCCGACAGCCAATCACCTAATTGAGTCTGCACTCCGCATCCCCCGTTAAGTCCCGCAGGTAGGCTGATCGATCCTCCTCCTCCTCCTCTGACGCCGGACCTCATCCGCACTTAATTAAAGCCCTCGCCGGGGGAGGGACGGCCTCCCCCTGCCTCCCTCGTCGACCCCACCGCTCGTCACGTCACCGGGCCGGGTGCGCGCTTCTTCCCTTTGTCTGGTCGACGGGAGCCCCCGTTTAATTGGCTCCTACGGCGGGGATTAGGGCGCCCGAGGATTCTTCCCCCTCTCCCCTTTTTTTTATTCCGCCGCCTTTCTCCTCCCCCTTCCACCGGTTTTATCCCCGGGAGCGGGGATTAACAGATCCCGTCCTCGGGAGGATCAAAGGGTGAGGGAACGAAAGCCAAGAAAGCCCGACCCGCCGCTCCCCAGCACCCCGGGGGCGAAAATGGGGCTCGGGTCGCGCCCGGGAGATTTATCCGCCGAGGGTAATCGCAGGCGTCCGGACGAGAAAGCGCTCACCTGTTGATCGTCCAATGACGCGGACGTCCGACGACGACGTCACGGTTCGAATTTCCAATCCCCGCGTCACTGCGGAACAAACAATGCCAACGTCCGATTTTCGGGGGGGGAGAGAAAGTCGGGACCGTTTCCCCCTCCCCCTCCGGCGGGCCCTTTTGGCGGGGCCCCGGCCGAAGCGTTGAGTTTAAACGGGGGCGGATCGCGTTACCGCAATTTCCGGCGGCGTCGGCTGCGACTTTCGCCCTCGTCGAGAATCGTGAGGTTGCTATGGAAATAAAAGGTAGCGGGAGACAATGGCAGACAAACAAGGTCCGCCGGATTGGGCGGCGGCGTGAACGGGGACGGAGACCCGGCGCCCTCTAACCCCCGAACTCGGCGGCGGCCAGAAGGCTAATTGGAGGGGGTAAGCGATCGATGGGGTGAAACAGGCGTCGGGCCCGGTATAGTCCGTTTGAACCGCAATTCGTCTTCCTCGACCTAGGTGAAGAGCCGCCATTGTTCTCGCCGCGGTTTTCGCCCGGCGTCAGCGCCGTTCCGCTTCTTCCGGCCCGCCGGGGAACGTCGGACCTCGGGGGTCGGACGGCGTCCCTCACGGACGCCTCCCAGTCCCGCGCGGGCCGAGATTTCGTTTCCGCCCGTTTCGCTCGCCCGTCGCCCGTCTCGCGACGCCGCCATTTTGTTTATCGAAGGAGGCGTTTTTCGCGTATCCTTCGCATTTCGGACGGCGGTCCACCCCCCGCTGTCTCCGGTCTCGTCACCCGTTCAAAATAGAGGATCTCGCCCTTCTTCTCGCGCCCGACGCCGGCGACGAGAGCTGCGAGAAGCACGGCCCGCTCGCCTCTCGCAGCTCGTCGGGAGGGGGCGCCCGGGTGCGTGCGGACTTTCGGGCCGGATCCAACAGGTCCGGCCCAGATCGGCGGAGCCAGTCAGGTAGACCATGCTGGAAAAAACTTGGAACGTTGCCAAATAAAGGGAGTCGTTGACCTACGAATCCGATTGGCAGATTGCCTGGCAACTTCTGTTCCGGTCGTTTGGCTTCCGTCGTCTGCCTCCGGTTTCGGTCGCCGACGTCGCGTCCGGCCCTCCCTCCCCAGGTGCGACCCGCCGGTTAATCGGGAGGCGGCCCGCCGCCACCACCACTGGACGCGGCCGGTTCGAACTCCGCGCGACAGCGGCTTCGGCCGAGAAGGCGTAAAGAGAAGGAGGGGACGGAGCCCGAACCCCCGGCGCGCGCTCGGCTGAAAGAGGGCCCGACGGGCCGTCGAAAGGAAGAGAGGACGCCGTCCTCTCTCCATTGGTCGGGCCGTGGAGGTAACTGGCGGTGACTGGAACTGCCGTCCGTCGCGACCAATCAATGGAGGAGGAGGCGGCGCTTGGGCTCGGTCGGAACGTCCCGGTCGGCGTCGGACGAAAGCCTCCTCCGCCCGCGGGCCCGCTCGGGAGGCGCCGCCCTTCCGTCCCCCTCCCCTCCGGACCCGGGCCCTTCGCCGGCCGTCCCGATGGCGGAGGCGGGAGGGCCCCCCGCCGTTTCTTCGTTCGAACCCCTTCCCGGCGCCGGCTCCCAACGAATTCGGAGGAAGGGGACCGCGCAGCCCCGCCGGGGCGCCAACCCCGACCGGGATGGAGAGCGGCCGACGCGATCGATGGCGGGGAGGGATAGGACGGGCCGGGCCCGGGGGAAAAGGTGCGTCGGGCGTCCGAAAATAGCCGCGTTGCATGTGGCACGGAGGTCAATCGATAGCCGGTAATTGTAGTCGAAGTCAAACACGGAAGGCAAATGACGTCAAAGGAAGGCACGTGACCTTTTTTTCTTTTACCTTTTTCCCCCGGCGAAGAAAAGTCGCGGCCGTTCTTAATATAAATATCGCGTGCGGCCGATTTCTATTATTAAATCGGCCCGGCCGCGCGTTTCAGGGGGCGGCGGCGGCGGAAGAAGAAGAGTGACCGTTTCTTTTTTCTGTGTCCTTCTTTACAGAGTGCCCGTCCGCCGAAGACGGTACGGAAAGGTTCGCATGTCCTTCCGCCGACAGAATGGGTCGCTACCGCTGTATCGACGATCACGTGCTGTGCGACGGATTCATCGACTGTCCCAACGCGGAAGACGAAGACCGCATGAGTTGTATGTTTTATAAGACGGTGAGTATCCGGGTCCGAACCCGCCCCTTCCGCAAACTCCCCCCGCACGCCGGTGAGGGGGGAGATGCCGAGACGGAAGGAGCGGAAGAGGAACGTTTTCCGCTTCGTCCCGCCGCGGGGAGGATTTCTGCCACGTTCTAACCCCCGTATTTTCCCCTCCCCCTTTTCCTTACAGACCAAAGCGCACCTGGACGTTCTGGCCGACGCTCTTCTTCGCTGGGCCCGAGGACGATACTGAGCCCATCCTCTAACCTGCACATCACTTCCCGGCCGCGCCCGCGGGCGCCGCTTCTCTGTTTTGATTGTGACTGGAACACCTGCCGGAAACAATCGAAATTTCGAAAAAAAATATAAAAAAAACACCCCCCGTCATCTGTTCCAAAAGTAAATCTGCATGAAAAAAAATTATATCTAAGTGTACTTATCGTGTGTTAAATCGAGGTTGAACGTGTCGATCGATTAACCCATTCCCGGTCACGACGAGACAATCGGTCCCATCTCCCATAGTCTTTCACCCATCCTCTATTTAAATGGCTGGGATTCGAACCCTCTACCCGTAATAATTTAAAGGATTAAAAAAAACAAATAAAAAAAATCCAAAAAAACAAAGACAAACAGCCTTCACTTCATGCAGCTGACGGTCATCGCGGTGGGATTTCCATTTAATAAAACTCAGTTCTAGCAATTAGGTTGTACAGTCGTCGCCGTTGTCTTCAGTCCGTGTTACGTCACCTAGAAGGGACTTCGGGGTGATCGAGTCTAACCAGAGAAGCGCCATTCCTATTTATCGTGGTTATTTATTTATTTATTGTTATTAATATACACACGTGGATATTTTTTTCCTCCTGTGTTCCAATCCGGAAAAACAACGGATCGATCGCGAACGACAACAGTATTAAGAGGGAGCGGCTTTCCCCCCGCACACCGGACACGAAACGACACATTCCGCTCCGTTACGGCTTTACTTTTTTCCTCTGTTTATTTTTTTAGCGCACAAAACACGTATATATATATCTATATATGTTGTGTACGGCCGATGGTGCGCGTCTCTAGTCGTGGCTTTCTTTATCTTCCATTCGAGACTACCTCTAAAAAAATGGCTGTTTAAAAACTCCAGAAGCAGTTTTTTGTGCAACTTGTATATAAAGTACATAAATGAATATATATATATATACATATATACATACACGTTTTCTGGTTTCTTCCGTTTTTGTTTACGGTCCACCACTCGGGACTGTTCGAACCCTGCGTTGTTTCGGATACGTTACAGACACGGTGTGTGTGGACGATAAAACGACTTGTATTTTGATTGACGAATTAAATATATATATTTTCTCTGGTCATAGACGAAGCCTTTGTTCTTGTCGCGCGCTTCAACCCCCTTCGCGTCGCGTGGCGCCGACGACGACGACGACGACGCCGTCGTCAGTCGTCCACCTGTTGCCGTCGCCGCGCGCCGGTTGCGGTCCGGGGGTTTTTTCCCCTTCCTTTTCCGAGCCCCCAGCCCCGTCGGGCCGCGGTGGACGAAATTTTCGCGGCCTCGGGTGGGTCGCCCGCCGCCGCTCACGTGACTGCCGCAGAACGATCGATTGCGCCAGAGTCGGATTCGAACTCGCAATCCGCCCACGCAAAAGTCAAATGACGCAAAGACAGCGGTGACGTCAATAGCGTCGATTAATCCCATTGGCCGAACCGGAGCACCTTTGGCGATAAATTCGGTCGAACGGGCCGGAAAACGCCGGAGTCGACTCCGTTTTCGGGAGGAGGAGAACGCGGGAACGCCTCCCGCCCCGCCGGCGCGGTCCGTCACCGAGTCTATATTTAGCGTTTTTCCGCCACTAAAAATAGACGAAGGAAGGAAAAAAGAAATTTTCCCCCTCTTTTGCGGACGAACGCGGGAAGCCCTTTCGCGCCGTCACGCGTCTTCGCTTCTGTCATTTATCCCGAGCGAGAGCGTCGGAATCCGGCATCCCGCGCCGCGCGGCGTCGAAAGAACGCAAATTACGAACGGCTAATTGGGTAGGGGTAGAAATGTCGTGCGACGGAACGCAAAGGGAGGCGAAGATCAGTCGCTCCGCGCGTCCGAGAGCGAAGGGAAGAAAACGGGGAGGACCGAAGACGACACCACTCCGCCAAAATTTCGAGAAAGACGCGTCCGCCGAAAGAGGGGAGAAGACGACAACGACGCTAGCGTTAATGGCGACGCCACGCGTCGGTGTCCACAAATTAGCGCCCAGTAAAATGCGCGCGGATCGCTACACTAAGCAACAAGCGTTTCGGAAATTTTTCGTTTCATCCGCGACGCGTTCCCACGCCTCGGACGTGATGCAGGAATGCGTCGCGGACGCCATTTCGGAATACGAACCCAAAGAGAAAGGGAAAATTCCAGAGAGACGGAATTTGACGACGTTGTTAAAAGTGGTCGGATGGAATGAGGCGGCGATTTTCGCCCTTCCGACGGCACGGGGACCGTTTAAGTTCCTTTCCCCGACCAGTCCGTCAGCATTTTTTCGGAAGGCGGAATCCGGACCCATTTTCTTTGACGGGGGAAGAACGTTTTCTCCTTCCTCCGGCGTTTCCGAGAAAGGACGAAGTCGCGTTTCCTCCGTCGGAGGGTGGCGCCTCCTGCTTTTTTTCGGCAGGCGGAATCCGGATCGTTCTGTCCGCCAAATGTGGATGGCCGGGTGGAAGGTGGGCCGCGCCCCCTTAATATCGGTGGGTCTCCGGAGCGAACAATTTCGCTTTGTCCGAAAAAATTCCCTTTCCCCCAAGTAACGACGGGAAATATACCTAAAACGGGGAAACACCGGCCTGGAATTAGGGTGGGTCCCCGTCTGCGGGAATCTCCTCCACCCCCTCGATAATCGAGAGGGGGAAGGAGGAGGAGGAGGACCGTCCGAGTGGAAAACGGGATAATTACCGGCGGGAGCCGGCCACCGGAATTAACGCGGAAGCGATAAAACCCGACCACGGAAAATCGAAACCATCCAGGTGGGGGAGAGGACGGATCCCGCCGGTGGCCGCCTGCGGTTCTTTTTTTCGTTCCGAGTGGGCGGCCGAAGTAAGAACCAATTTGGGGGGCCCATTGCCACGTTAATTACTCTTCGGCGGAGGTGGGACGGTGGCCAAAACAGCGCCTCCCCGCCGGTTAACCGGGCCGTCGGCCGCGTTGCCTTAGTAACGTGGAGGTGCGAAGAAAAACGCCACCTCGGGTTACCGGTTTCGCAACCGAACCGCGGACACCCGGCGCAGTTGAAGAGTTTCCGCCGTTGTCCTAGGTAGGGGGATGGTGGCCCTCGTTGTAGTTTCTCGTTTTTAGTAGCTTCGTCTTCACACCTGACCGTTGACAGTTTCCTCCGTTTTCCGCCCACCCGCGCCGGAAAATGTCACGCCGCGCGCTATTCTTTCCAGTTTCGGACCGGTGGGTTTCTGGCGCCGGAAATTTTACCTTTCTCTTCCTCCCCCGGACTCGAACGTTTCCCATCCCCCTTCGTAAATGGCGCCATTCCTCGGCATTTCGTATTTAGAGAGCCCAGTACTTATCTAAAATAACCCTCGAAAATCCCAGGGGGTCGAATTATTCCCGTTCTCCCGCCCGAACCGCCTTCGGAGAAGCCACTTTCCACCTTTTTATCCAACGAATCGCCACTTTAGTAAAAGGGATAGAAAGAAGCGCGCGTCGGTAGGACTGTCGTCAGCACGCGCTTCTACTCGAAGGGGGGGAGAGAGAGAGACGTGGCTCGGATTATATTGTTGTTTACGCCTTCCGAAGGGTCGCGTGAAGCACCGATTCGTCGGGGGCGGAGACCACCCCGAGGGGGTGCTTTCTTCCTCGGATACGAGAGGGGCACGCATTTTCCCAACATAAACTTCTGCCTTTTGTCGAGCGGGCATTGTTTAGTTCGACGTAATTTAATTATTTCCGATCGATAAAATTATATTTAACCCAACCCGAAATACTCTCTCCTTATTTTTATTATTATGTTTTTTTTTTTTTTTGTTAATTCCGCATTAATTATGTCGTGCGTGCTTTCCCCCTCCACGTCTTCTCGCAAATACCACCGAACACATTTCCATAAATCCAATATATTAACTTATTATTTATTCTCGCGGTTGTCCGTAGTAAAAAGAGACCTTTTACTACGGACGAACTAACGTAAAATTAATTTTATCCCATTATTAAACAAATGAAGTATAAAAATAAAAGGCGCGTATTTATAGAATTATCCTTTAACTCGACCTTTCGACGAGTCTCTTCCCTACCCTCTTTTAAACGAATTTCCTAAATGTCGCCGAATCGCTAGCGACTGTTAAAGGTCGTCGCGCGCGTTTCTTCTTTCCCTTTTGTATTCCTACCCGGTGGAAGTTACCTTTGGTGTAGGATGGGCCCGGGCTTTTCTGGTGGTATTTGTCGACTTCCCGCGTGGGTCGGGATTTAGAGGTGTTACTTACGGTAAGCCGCCGTTAGAAAAACCTCGAAAGAACACCAAAACCTCGTCCTCTATATCCGGGTTTAAAGTGTCTTACGGAGCGAGAAAATGTTTAATGGAGAGAGCGATCGCGCGCCTGTTACCAACCCAAAAAAAAAAAAAACAAATCGATACGTCAAAAAAAAAAATCCGATAAAATTTCTCCCGGGCTTACGTGGAATTCGGAGTGAAATATTTGGGATTCTTAGAACTACTTCCGAGTTTTTCTCCCCCCAAATTAGGCTATTAAACGCTCGTCCTAATTGGAACCGACCACGCGACCAAATTACGAAAACATCTCCTCCCCTTCGCTCCTTCGGCGAAAAAGAAAAACGAATTACATTCGTTCTTTCCGATTATATCTGCAATTGGCCAGGAATAAAAATTTCCGGCTCCTTTTCGCCCCCCCCCGAATTAGGCGGAAATAATGGAAAAGGCTCCTCCCGACCTTAACACGTAGTTAAAAGCCCTCGCCCGCTAAACCGTTACCGATGGGAATCGGAAGAATAGGAAGGAAGGAGGGCGATTACCCGAAAGGAATCGCACGTAAAAGAAGTAAATACGACGCAGTAACGATGGAGGAAGGGAAGATTTCGTTCCGGAAACGCTCGAATTGGATTGGTAATTCGCGGCTTCTAGCGTGGCGCGTAACCGCTTCCACCGCGCGTATAACCGGAAAGACCCTTTTATTTTAAAATGAAACGTAACACAACGGTGAATGGAAAAGATACGTCACATAGAAAACGCACGCGCTCGATAGATTCCTAGGGCTTTTCCGGCCCGGAAATAAAATTTTAAACACGATTTAGGTCTTTATCTTACTTTTTAACTGCCGTTTCTTTTGTCTTCCGTCTTAAAACCGTCTACTAAAAGATTAAAATCGGAGAGTAAACAAATAACCCTGGCCGGGATTGGTATTAAAACTT